ATGCATCAATAGGATTGACTACACTTGCCAAGGCAGACCTGGGCTGACTGAGACAGGAATTATTTAGCTGTCAAATTTGCATATAAATTCTCTGAATTCATTCTACTGAACGTGCCTTCCACTTTTCTTCTAATATTTGAGTGAATCTGGAAGAGACAGTGCTAAAGGTAAACTCAAATACTCCTAGAGCTATTATAATATTAGCAAGAGATTTTAATGCCAGGGTGGGAGAGCTCTTCACAAGATTTTATACACTTGGATGTTGTTATTATCTTATAAATGATCCACCCTGGCTCTATAGGACCCCCAAAAGAAATGTTGCAGGTTCACAACTGGTTTCTTTTATTTACAAATGTAACTTCCATATTTTAGGAAGTGTAGAATTTAATTTTATATCTTTTTATATATTCAGGAAACTCTACCAATATTTTAGATTACATATCAGTAATCTAAAGTTACATAAAATATGACTGGGCTGTTATCAGACATCCAAGCCAATAATCAACAACAAATCACAGTCCATTTCCAAGGCAGCACTGATATTAGACTATCCATGCCTCCTGGCAAGAGGCTATTAGCTAATCTCAAAGTGGTACCGAATACAAATTTAAACTGGGCCAAGGTGAATACTAAGGCAATATCTACTGTTTTAATTCAAGACAGGCTCAGACTTGAAGAAATTTAATTTTCCACTCTACCCAAGTTAATATGTTGACCCATTATGCTGATTTGTGATTTTTGATGAGAATTTTTTTTAAAAAAAACTACTAGAATCCAAATAAATTCAAATTGGTTCAATTCTGACTGTTTGTTTACTAGAAAATTATCAAGGGCAGCATTCACTCTATCATTAAAAAAAATGCTACAACAGTGGTGGGACTCATCTCCAGGGGGGATGAGTCTGCCTACCGAGATGAGGTGGAGCGGTTGCTTTCGTGGTGTGGAGACAATAACATGGTCCTCCGCACCAATAAGACCAAGGAGCTTATAGTAGACTATAGAAGGAACAGATCAGACATCCAGCCCTTGCTTATCAATGGAGACTGAGTGGAACAAGTGGCCAGTTTAAAGTTTCTGGGTGTTACCATAACAAAAGGACTTGACCTGGGGTGCTCACATTGCAGCACTGGTCAAAAGGGCCCAGCAGAGATTATACAATCTGAGACTTCTCAGAAAACAACTGAATGGAAAAACTGCTGGTGACCTTCTACCGCTGCACCAGAGAGAGTATCTTAACTTACTGCACTTCTGTATGGTTTGCCAATTGCACAGTGGCAGATAGGACAGCACTCCAGAGGGTTAACGTCATTGCCCAGACGATCATTGGTTTCTCTCTCCCCTCTTTGGAAGAGCTTTATAGTTCCTGCTGCCTTAAGAAAGTTCAAAATATTCTCAAAGATCCATCTCATCCTGGACATCCTTTTTTTGAATTATTACCATCTGGCAGATGGTACAGAATAATAAAAAACAAGCACAAAAAGGCTGAAAAACAGCCTCTATCCCGGGGCAGTAGCTCTTTTGAATTCCACTGTATAGTGCAGTGTTGGTGCGGTATTGTGGGTTTTCGGTTCAATGTGTGGAGTGTGAAAGATATGTGTTTGTGTTTATTTTCATGGTCATGATGTGCACTGAAGATGGTGTTTCATTTCGTTGTACGAGGTGCAATGACAATAAAGTAAACTAAAGTAAACTAAAATGTTAAACATACGATATCATTGCAAGAAACTAATAGCTCCTAAAAAAGCATCCTAAGATCTGGAATTTTCAGCTAAATTCTGGAATTTTCAGCAAAGGGACAAATTCAATATTTTTCCTGGAATATTGTATTAGGTTTACTGAAAGAATATACATTCCAATTTAATATTCCTTTTCCAGCTTCACTTTGGGAGGATTTTTATGCAAATCTGTTTACTAATCCTAACCAGCTCCCCCCTCATAAGCAAACTATTGATAATCTAGCCCAGGGGTATCTAACTCAAGGCCCTTGGGCCAGATCCGGCCTATAGAGTGCTTAAATCTGACCCACAGGGTCACCCTGGAAACAGCAACAAAAATGGCCCACAATGCCTCTGCCAGCGAAAATGAAGCTCGGGAGAGCCGTGCATGACCCTCAAGCTCCATTTTCATTCGCAGAGGGATGCAGGAAGCCACTGTGGCCAAAAACGGAGCCTGGTAGGGCCACACGGGCTCCCTCAAGCTCAGTTTTTGCTGGCAGAGATGTGCAGGAGGCTGTCACAGCCGAAAACAGAGCTCGGAAGCCCATTTTCGCTGGCAGAGCATTTAGGTCATCACAGGTGCCTGACATGAGTGATCTCAAGTTGGCCACACCTACCCTAGCCACGTCCACCCCTACTCCACGAGATCAAACACAACCCTGATACAGCCTTCAATGAAATCTTGTTTGATACCACTGCTCTAGCCTTTGAAAATCTTCCTCATGGATTTCCAGTGGGTCAGTATTAGAAATTAACTTTATTATCCAATCTCTGAAATCTAATAGAGTGCCTGGAAAATATTTTTCAGTCCCAAAATTCTTCAAGATCTATAGTGATTAGTGGGCCCCATTGTTAGCAGGGCTGTTCTGCTACTTAAATAATAAAGGTTGTACCTGAGTTGGATAAGAAATTGCCATTAATAGTCCCCAAATATAAAAATGGAGACAAAGGTGACCCAAAAAACTAGAGGGGTCTAGCCATTAAGCCTCATTGGAATTGTAGCTAAAATGTATGCAAAATGTCTTTTGACCGAAATAGAAGACTGGGTAATGAAAAGAAATCTTATAATGGAGTAACAAGCTGGATTTACACTGGAGCTCTCCACAATAGACACTTGTTTTATTTTATATCATAACAAAACAATTAACCAATGGCAACAAACTGTTTACTGCCTTTGTAGATTTCGGTGTGGCTTTTGATTGTATAAACAGGGGTGTCAAACTCTATTTCATTGAGGGCCGCATCAGGGTTGTGTTTGACCTTGGGGTGCCGGTGTGGGCGTAGCCAGCGTAGGCATGGCCAGCTCGATGTCACTCGTGTCGGGGGTGCCTGTGGAGGCCAGAGCGCTCTATCAACGAAAACGGGCTCCCAATATCCATTTTCAGCTGCAACAACCTCCTACAACCCTTTCCAGTAAAAATGGAGCTCGGGAGGGCTGTGTAGGCTGGTCCTCTGCTGTTTCCAGACCAGCCCTACAGATCCAGCCTGCGGGCCTTGACACCCCTGATAAAAAAAAAAACTTACAGAAGAAATTGACCAATCTAAATATGGAACCCAGACTCTTAGTTAAGGTACTCTACTCAAATATTAACTGGAAAGTTCATATGGGTGAAAATGTTTAACATATGTAACCATAATGGTGTTAGATAGGGTTCTAACTTTTTAACCTCAAACGTCGATGACAGCCAGTTTGGTCTAATGGTAAAGATACCAGGGCCAGAAAGTGGAGTTCGAATCTCACCTTAGCCAGAAAGCCAGCTGGATGACCATGGGCTAGTCACTTTCTCTCAGCGCACCTAACTTCAAAGGGTGGTTGTTGTATAAATCATCATTTCTATCATCCTAAAGGAGATTAGGAAACAATATAGGTCACAGATGTTAATCAAGATAAAAAATGTTGCTCTGACAATGTTTTTTTACTTCAAGGGATTTTCTGCTGGAAACCAAAAATAGCTGCTAATTTCAATTTTTTTTAATGTTGTGCTAGTATCACAAATTCTAGTTGCTCAAGACTTGGCTATCTTACAGAAATCATGAGCATAGGTTGAATTGCTGATTCTGGCACATGCAATATTTATCTGCAATTTGTGGACAGCCACCCCTGCCTCTTCCTGTTACTTTAAACATCATTAGTTGCTCTGAACACATTTACCTTTTCTTCTTCCAAATTAATGGCCAGCAGCTAAATTTCAGAAATACATTAAAACTAGAAAGAGTAAGAACATGTTTGGATTTTATGTTGGGGCATAAGTAGAAGACAAAGGAGAAGAAAGTGGGGGGAGTGTGTGTTTGGCCATACACATGTGTAAACATACACAGGGCAGTGTAGGAGAAAACATAAGGTTCAATTCCTCAGTGTGCTCCAGTATATAATTGGACGAGAGCTTTTTCTCTTTTAAGTGTTACTACATTATCTTGATTATAATTCCAACTCCAACAATTCCAACTGTAATAATGGCAGCAATCTCCAATAATTCTAGAAAATAAAAAAATGCTGAAACGGCATTATTAATTCTGAATATTCTCAAAAAATATTATTAATGGAGTAAAGAAAGCATAGGGGTATGAGTATGGTTGCACCACAATATTTAAGGTACAAGTAATCCTTCACTTATGACTACAATGAAGCCCAAAATTTCTGTTACTAAGTGAGACAGTTATTAATTGAATTTTGCCCCATTTTATGAATTTTCTTGCCATAGTTGTTAAGTGAATCACTGCAATTGTTAAGTTAGTAACATGGTTGTTAAGTGAATCTGGCTCTCCCATTGACTTTGTTTGTAAGACGGTCACAAAAGTTGATAACATGACCCCGGACATTGCAATCATCATAAATATGAGCCGGTTGTCAAGCATCCAAATGTTGATCACTTGACCATACGAAGGTTACAATGGTTGTAAGTGTGAAAAATGGTCATATCACTTTTTTCAGTGCTGTTGTAACTTTCAATGGTCACTAAATGAGCTGTTGTAAGTCAAAGACTACCTGTACTTCTAGGTAATGACCGGTGATCTCCCCATTAAAAGAAGATGATGAAGAGAAAGAGGAAGAAAAGGTGCTTTAAAATCTCAATAAACTCTAGAGAAGGCACTGTCACAGAAATGTTAATTGGAGTAGCTTGAGACATTTAAAACATTTTCAATACTTCACCAACGTTCCCCCTTAGAATTTCTTCCAAATATAACTTTTTGATAAAGGAAAATTCATGCAAATGGTTTTAAGAAAACCTAAAGGTCCCCAGCTAATTTGTTAATCAGTTAGGGCTTACCTATCATAAATCCGAATGTGTGCTGGAATGGCACTGATGAACCCCACCAGTTCCTATTGGATGATACCCTGACACCACAGTGCCACTGCGGAAGCCAACCTGGAGGTCTAAGGGGCCTAAAAGAGTGAAAAAACATGAAAGAACAATTAGGTCTTCATTTTGACAGAATAAAAGGAGTCCTTGACTTACAACCATCGATTTAATAACTATCAAAGTTATGATGCTGAACTAAATGAATTACCATCAATCCTCAGACTGTCGCAGGCATACCCACAGGCACATGATTAAAACTGAGGAGCATGGCACGGTCCTGGGGTCAAGATATCACTGTTTGCAACCTTTTTAGCCAGCTCCTAACAAAACAATGGGGGAAGCTGGATTTGCTTAATAACCTGCAGTGATCTACTTAACGATCAAGGCAAAAAAGGTTGTAAAATTGGGCATGACTCACCTAACAACTATCTTGCTTAGCAATGGAAATTTTTGTCCCAAATGGTCGTAGGTTGAGCTATCTGTACTGTAAACTTTTTAAGCATGAAATATGAAAAAAAAAATCTGTGTAGCAAAAATCTGTCTAGCAAGAGAGACGAGGGGAAAGGGCTGAGAAAAGAACAGGCCAATGACATCATTACTTCTCCATAGTTTCCCCTTGATGTATACAGAAACTGGGACTCACCACAAAAGGAATTCCGGTGAATAGTCAAATCTAAACATGTTATCATCATCTTCAACATAATTTTCATTTAGCAGCATGTACAACTCCTTTAACTAGAAAAAAGAATAGAGGGAAGCCATCAATTTATTGAATCCAGCAGCTTTCACTTCGCTCTGAATTTGAGCACATGGCTTATCTTAAGAGAAACACTTGAGCTGGCCAAATCAAACTCATCAATGAACAGGTGGAGGGGAACGCGAATTCTGACCAGAAAGGAGGCAACTGAGAGGCCTGTTTCATATAAAGACATATATCTAGCTTCACCAGAGACATAAGGCACAATATCTATTTCTTTCCATTCTCTTGGTTTCAATGTAGCTGAAGTTTAGTTATTTCTTCCACAGCTCATTTTTTGGACTGTGCTACCTAAAGTGAATTACTAGCTTGAAGCCACACCATGAGCTTTCATGACTGAGAGTAGAATCCAGGTCTTCCAGTCCTAGCCTTCACCATTATGCCACGCTGGCTCTCAGTCTTAACGTAAGTTGATAAGATCCAATAAGATCCTGTGATTAAAGCTATTCCTAGCTACTCAGAGAGTGGGGAAAGTCAGTTATATCAGCTTTTAATGAAAATCCAGAGGATTAAATGTTCTCACTTCCGTTCTGTATCTCAGCGTTTCTGCCCTCACTTCTAATCTGTAGCTCAACATTTTCCCCTGGGAATTAAGAATTGAGTACATGGGGGGAAGAGGTGTTGTTTGCTATTTTCTTCCCCAGAAAAACAAATTTTACCCTAACAGGCTGGTCCAAAAGAAGATGGAGAACTATGTGGTCAGGAAGGGACTTCTGTGTCTCTCCAGTTCATGTCCCCAGGCAATTTCATTACTCTGGCAGAATGCACCACACAATACACACACAAATACCCAAACACAAAACCAGGGTTATATTTGAAAGACTGCAAGGGACTCTACTTACAATTTCAGTGTTGCTCAGATCCAACGTGTCCCAAGCGAAACCCTGCGGTAAAGAATACGGCTCTATGCGAATGTTATCCTTATCTGGTTCAATAGCACCAGGCGATATTATAACTTCACCTTAGAGAAAGTAAGCTTGAAAGTTTTTTAATCATTTTTTCTGCTTTCTGGGAAGCTGATGGAAGGTTTACTAAACAAAAACTAACTCATGCTGTTAGAAGTCCATGGCCAAATTCATTTTATGTCAAATGGCAGTCTTCCAGTTAATTATATGGTGATAAAGCTTGTTTTCAACTTAATCTTAAAGCTGTTTTCAGTTTGGAATGGTTTCATCTGTGCATTTGAGTTGAGTTTTTGTGATCTGTAAATTATACGTTGTTAAAATACAACTCTCCCCCATTAAACAAAGAACCAATGCTGTTTAAATCTGGTCACCAGCAATAAACTTATTAAGCTTAGGTACAGGCTGTGTGTCCCAAAACTGGTATTTACATTTGGTTGTTTTATCAGTATTCTTGGCTGGGCCCTGACAGGCTGAGAGCAACGCTATAGATCTTTGAATGTCTTGCAGCTTCTGCATTGGAACGGCTGAATTCTGTAGGCATACAATCACAGGTAAAAGGAAAATGCGACTTCCTTTAATATGATTCACCCTGGTAAGTTTACCAACCTGTTATGCATTTGATATATTACATCTTGTCATCATAGCTATCCTTAAAGAAAATCTCACATGAAATAATCTCTGAGTGAAAAATAGAGCTGCATTTAAAGCAAACAAATATTAATTCCAAGATACTTCAATAAAATTTGCAGAGAGTATGTAGACTAAGCATATAGGCCTTTCTTGGTGTTGCCAATAAGAAAATGAGGGCCTCTTACTTATATCTTTTCAGCATCCTGATTGTTCCACCTTTTTCTCTTTGATGCTCCAATCAGACAAGAATCTGAGATATTTCACCCAATGAAATTGAATCTTGGAAAAATCAGGACCCGGCAAACGAAGACTGGGACTCATATATGGATCGGTTCCAGATGTTTCTGGAGACCAATAACTTAAAGGACGCGACAACCGGCAAGAAACGAGCAATATTCCTGACCCATTGCGGGCCGGCCGTATTTAAAATGGCGAAATCACTTGCAAAACCGGCTGAAGTGAAATCAATGGACTGGGACGCCCTCGCTCCCCTCCTAAAGGCCCACTATGCACCCGCAGTGCCCACACTTGTCCGAAGACATGAATTTTACCAGAGGGACCAACGGAAAAGCGAAAGTCTCGCAGACTACATCGCTGACCTCCGGAATTTGGGAGGCCTCTGTGGGTTTTCCAACCTCGAAGAAGCTTTGCGAGACCGCATAGTTCTGAGATTAGGTGACCAGACGGTGCAAAGCAAGATCATGGCCAAAGGGGACATCGATCTTGCCGATGCCATCGCAGACGCTACTGCAGCAGAAGCAACCAGGAAGTCGGCCACTCGAATGCGCCGCACCAACGCACCGCTCCGTCAACTCGCGAATGACACCTCGCCTCGCCCCGAGAGGCACTCAACAACGGCGCATCATGAAGACCTGGAATCCCCATCAGAAAGTGATGAGGAAGAGGTCAACCGACTCCGGTCCGAACGAGACCAACAAAACCAACGATTCCCGCGACAATGCGCGGGTTGTGGGGCAAACCACCCACGATCCGATTGCAAATTCCTCGACGCACTCTGCCGTTCCTGTGGAAAAAGAGGCCACATTGCAAAGGTCTGCAGAAGCAAGCGAGGGTCCAGTCCCAAGCGCAGGGAGAATAACTGCAGCCAGTCTTCGGGATTCGTGTCCGCGAATCGGAACCACCCGAACCACCAATGGAACAACCACTCCTACAGAAATAAAGCACCTGCCTCTTCAACGAGACGGGAAGAGGCACACCAAACCATTACCATCGGCCACACTACATCCTTAGATGCAAGAAAGATCTGAGTGAAGGTCGCCATCGAGAACCAACCTTGCATGATGGAAGTCGATTCGGGGTCGTCCCTCTCAATGGTTTCCTGGAAAACCTTCAAGCAACTAATCCTGGCCATCCGTCGTCAGGACCTCAGCCCCCAAAGGATCATACTCAAGGATTACCAGGGCAACAGAATCCCGGTCGTCGGTTCCAGCCAAGTCCAAGTCTCCTTCAAGAATCGTATCGCATCACTACCGCTGACTGTCGTCGATCGTGACCAGCCTAGCTTATTAGGCCTACAATGGTTCGCCCCGCTCGGGATCGAGGTAGCCGGCGTCCACCGAGCTGAGAACAATGACTGGGAGGAGTCTCTCGTCCAAGAATTCCAGGACGTTTTTTCAGACGGGCTAGGCAAGTACAAGGGGACCCCAATATCGTTTAACCTCAACCCTGAAGTAGCTCCCATCCGCCTTAAGCCTCGTCGGGTGCCTTTTGCACTAAAACCAAAGATCGACGAGCAACTCGATAAATTAATAGCCCAGGGCATTTTAGAACCAACCGACCACGCCCGTTGGGAAACCCCAATTGTAACACCCATTAAACCAGATGGATCGTTAAGAATTTGTGGGGATTATCGGGCCACTTTGAACCACGCACTTCAGCAAAGTGCTTACCCGGTACCGGTGGTTCAACACCTTCTCCACTCCCTGGGTGGTGGGAAGATATTCGCTAAATTGGATTTGGCACAAGCGTACCAACAGTTGCCCGTTGATGCGGAAACTGCAGAAGCACAAACGATCGTTACGCGTAGAGGCGCTTTTAAGTGCAATAGACTCCAATTTGGAGTGAGCGTAGCTCCGGGAATTTTTCAAAGTTTAATGGAGAGACTCTTACAAGGCATAAAAGGGGTCGTACAATATTTTGATGATGTTTTAATCGCCGCCCTAATAGAGACATCTTAGAAAAGCGTCTCAGAATGGTTCTAAAGAAATTTAAAGACGCCGGCCTGAAGGTTAAAAAAAATAAATGTCAACTGTGTACTGAGAGGGTGGAGTTCCTGGGATACCTTCTCGATAGTCAAGGAATCCACCCCACTGATAACAAGCTAAAAGCGATTAAAAACGCCCCAACGCCCAAGAATAGAACAGACCTCCAAGCCTTTCTGGGGCTCATTAACTTCTACAACATTTTCTTGCCCCAGAAGGCGACTGTAGCGGAGCCCTTAGACAGACTTCTTGATAAAAGAGCTACCTGGGTCTGGGGACTTCGAGAGGAACGCGCCTTCCAACAAGTGAAAGACTTGCTAACCTCCGACGCTGTTTTGATGCAGTACAACGAGACTTTACCTTTAACTATTACTTGCGACGCTTCACCGTTTGGAGTGGGAGCAATCTTAAGCCATGTACTTCCAAACAGAAACGAAGCACCTATTGCATTTTTTTCACGAACACTATCAAAGGCCGAAAGGAACTATAACCAACTCGATAAAGAGGCCCTCGCTGTTGTGTCTGCTGTGAAGCGCTTTCACGAGTACGTGTATGGATGAGCATTTACGATAGTTACAGATCACAAACCATTGCTTGGTATTATAGCGGGAGACAAGCCAACCCCCTATATATTATCGCCAAGAATGACTCGATGGTCTGAGTTCCTAGCTGCCTACAATTACGTGTTGCAACATCGCCCAGGGAAAGCCATTCCCCACGCTGATGCGTTGAGTCGTTCTCCACTTCCGGAAGCCGTCGACGACCCAGCTCCAACCCTCACGACGCTCCAAATCGAAACGCTGCACTCGCCGCCACTAACAGCGAGAGACATCGCGATCGAGACAAAACGGGATCCTGTCCTGGCACGAGTCCTCAGCTGGGTCGAATGAGGATGGCCAGCCGACCAAATCCACGACGATTTCACACCATTCAAGAATCGGCAGACAGAGCTTTTCTCCCAGAGAGGTTGCGTTCTCTGGGGGAATAGAGTAGTCGTCCCAGAGAGGCTACAACAGACTGTTTTAAAGGTATTACACGAGGGACATCCGGGTATCGTGTGCATGAAGGTGCTCGCACGAAGCTACACATGGTGGCCGGGCATCGATAAGCAGATTGCAGCCTGGGTAACCACGTGCCAGAAGTGCCAAGACGTTAGCAACGCCCCACCTAAAGCGACGCCAACCGAGTGGGAAACCCCTCGGGGTCCGGGGTCCCGTATCCACGTTGATTTTGCGGGACCCACCAAAGGACACACGTTTCTATTAACAGTTGACGCCTATTCAAACTGGCTAGAAATCCAGAAGATGAAGACAACCACAACAGAGTCAGTCATTAATAAACTGAATAAATTATTTGCAACACATGGGTTACCAGACGTTTTAGTTTCTGATAACGGGCCCCAGTTCACGGCCCTAGCTTTTGAACAGTATCTAGCGGACCGGGGCATCCGCCGCGCGCTCACCTCGCCAGCGCACCCTGCGGCTAACGGAAGGGCGGAGTGAATGGTACAATTCGTCAAAAAAAACCTACATAAAATGGACTATGGGGACATCGACGACAAGCTCAACCGAACACTCCTGCTCCAACACATCACCCCACACAGCATCACGAATAAGACGCCTGCCGAACTGCTAATGGGACGGAGACTTCGCTCTCACCTCGACCGCCTCCATCCCTCTTATTCACCAGAAAAACCCTTTGGATCCAGCGGGAAGTGCTGCGAATTCAAGGTAGGCGACTTGGTGTTTGCTAAAAACTTTTCAGGCGACCCATTATGGGTCCCTGCAACTATTACCCAACCCACCGGCCCCAGATCCTACCGCCTACAGACTAATGACGGGAGAGCTTGGAAACGCCATATAGATCAACTTCGATCCAGATTGGCACCCACCTCCCGTGACTTCCCTAATTCACAAACTAAGGGGGGAGGGGATATCAAGGAGGCCGAAAACGGAATAGATGACAACGTAATCACGGGGACCCAGCAACCTAACCGAAGAAACGGGAAACCTGAAGAAGAATCAGGGAGCGGGGTGATATCTCCGCCCAGAAATAGCACGAGGGAGGCAAGCCCACGGGACCCGGAAGTAAGCCTAGGAGACTGGGATAACAACAACGAGAGCCACGCCGAGTCCTCCCATGCGGAAACGGAATTAGCCGTACCAGAAACCCTTGATAGCGTTCCACCGGAATCGGACCGCAGA